ATGCTCATGTTCTCACGTGCCTACAGCTAGGTCACGTTTTCTCACTTACTCACGTGCCTACAGCTAGGTCACGTTTTCTCACTTACTCACGTGCCTACAGCTAGGTCACGTTTTACCCCTCACAATGTCTAAAAATAAATCAAAAATTCAGGGGAAAAACAACAGAAATTTAGGTAACACAAACTATTCTCAAAATGGAAACTACCCTTCAAGAGTAGTCCACAGCCCATATTTCATATTAAAATTTCTAAACATCACAAGTTACGTACAGTAATTGTAGATTTTGTCATATTTTGTATTCATAACTAAATTGTTGTTGAAACATAATAGTTTAAGAGATAGAAATTTGGGAAATTAACGAACATTGTTTGTAAATTAAATATTATAACATCATATGAAAAGAGAACTTTAATGGTCCAAATATTTTAAACATTTTCTACTCGATATTGTGTCCAGATACCACCACACCATTGTCAATTCTGTTCACGTAACATGCTTTGTACTGCAGATTTTAGGTATAGATGTATTGTTGGCACGAAAGTTGTTTCTTCTGCTAGAAGGACTGGTTCAATAATAATATTAGTTTCAAGGATTCTTTGGCAGAAAATATGCAAACAGATATCAAGAAGCTCTGTTTATTATGCAATATTGTATTATTTATTATAAGAATGTACTGTATTCGAACGCGTAAATGAAATATGGCACGACTAATATATCAGATATATTGAATTTGACACCAAATTCGAACATAATAGCAATAAAATCCGGACATTATATACCAGGAAAAAACTATTTATTAAGCAATTAAAGATTACATACTTGATTAATAAACATTTAAATAGTTATCTTCTTGATTTATAACACTTCAGATTGCTATTATATTAGGTTTTGGTCGGTAAAACAGGTAATGCTGTATGTACAGTACGCTAAAGATTTACATTTATTGAAAACCGCTAGAAATTTGTTTTTTTTTATAAACATGAATATAAGTATGTTAGAAAGGTATATAATGACGCAGAAGATATTACAGTAGCTTCGAAGGACATTTCCTGTTCAGTAGTGTTTGCAAGTGCCAGGCACATATTATTATTAAACAATAATGCCCGTGCCCATGTCAGGCATTATGTTTTAATAGTACGGCATAGGGTACAGCAGTGTTGTACGTTTTGGCATGTGATCATTTTTTTGATTTATGTTGCAAATTATGTGAATTATGCAAAACTATCGATATAATCCAAACTATTCTTTTGATCTATATGTCGACAGTAGTATATATAGTCACACTAGATATATTCCCAACCTATCGACATCTAAGGTCGCGTTATCATTAGTCCTAACTTATTGTAAAAATTTTAACCTGTTTATAAGCACAATTTTATTACAGTCACATCTTTTTTTTTAAGGTGTGATTATAGCCAGGGTTGTCTGTATAAGAAATTTATAATTATTCTGTAATCTGAAAAATTAGCTAAAAAATAAATCTTAATTTTAAAAGCTTAAAGACTATATATTCTTTTTATTATTATACAAAATTAACTAATAATTTTAAATTGCAACTTTTTCCGTCTTAAAATAGATTGAAAACTTCTATTAGCATTAGCATTAGATCAACGTTAATATCATTTTCACACGCAGGTGTATTCAATAACGATAGATAAATGTTCAGAAATAATCTGTTGCCGCCATATTTGATATGTAATGAATGTGATTTTTAATCTTCCAGTATGTATCAGTATCACATGATCTTGTTGGTAAAATTTCAGTTCCTTCGTTCCACATTACTGTACGCGAATTTTACACCTGCGATCAGTTGCAATCTGGCAACTGTCGCCCAAATTTTTATTATATCGTTATAAAAAATTATTTAAAAAAGGGTCTAATTATGATTATAATGCTAGTCATGGCCAATACTATGGAAGTATCTATCTCATTAACAGTATGTCACTTTTGAGAAATATTAAATGAGGACACGTTTTAACTCAGCTTAATCAGTTTTGATACAAACTTAGTTTATAAATAATTTAATAGGAAATTACTAAAACTACTACAAATCACTAGTGTTGTTCATCTAAAAAATTTGTACCATCTTCTCCGCACACATCACACCACCACCCCTCACTGCGATATTTCTCCTTTAAATCATGTCCCGCAAAACATTTAGGAAGAGGTGGACGTATTTTAGCATTCATTGATGCTGAAACGTCAATTACAAGTGCATAATCAATTGCCACCTTATTAAGCCCTCTTTGACTTCGAACTTTAGCCCATTATGTGGAAATGTTACTAACAGACAAGCTCGTAAGCGTGAGTGATTTAGAAGTGGTAACTTGATAGGCGATCATCAAGAATACGTGACTTAATCCTAACCCTAAAGATTTTATTACACCTGATCTTTCGATCTAATTTGATAATAATCATGAGGGGAGATTTTTGTGGGAGAGCTACCATACTTATTCAAATGTGTGATCAAATCTTTCCTAAGCCAAAATTACACAAATTTCGCCTACGTAACAATGCACAAAAAATACCGGAAATACCGGAGATTTCGTTTAAGATAGATTTTGTTTTGGATAGATTAAACTATTAAACCATATTATCTTATTGTTATGCAGCATTATTAATAATCATCCATTTTGAGGTAATGATATTTTTAAAAATTATTGGATTTTGAAGTATATACTGTAATTATTTCAAAAATTCTAATAATCGAATCTTGAAAATTCTAATAGTCGATTCTGACCACTAATTATACGTGTAATGCTGTACAATTTATCGTCCGGTGCAATATAAATTTCTTAAATAACGTTCAAAAAAATAGTTCTTAATGAAAATTAAATCACACAAAGAATGGCCAAATTAGTATATCTTGCATATTTTTTTATTGCATAATTTTTGCTCATAGGGCCGTTAGCATTACTTATGATAGGCAGAAAACAGTTGATTATGGTAAGCCAAATTGAATTAAATTTGATTTTTGCATTAAAACTGATAAAGGATACAAATAATGTTCTAATTAATTAAGACTTGATTAAGTTTTTTTTTTATATTACTATTATCCGAATTATGTTAGTGTCAGAAGACGGGTTTTCTGCTTTATATATTTAGTGGTTAGAGCGAGCATTTATTTATTATTTCTAAGTTAGCTTTAAGTTTGTTTTTTGTAATATCGTTAATTTAATCGGTCGATATTATACAGTACACAAGTCATTTTTTGGTGTTAGAAGTTTTAATATATTAAAATTTATTTTTTAT